CTGTGGGGACAAACCTTTTTTATAAGGGAAGACAGATGATCCTTGAAAAGTCACATGATCACAGTTGTATCGTTGGTGTTGGAATTCAGTTTTGTGGAGACAAAACTCAGATCTTTTAGACTTCACCTGAGTAGAGCTGCACTGCAGTCGTTAGTGAACGGACGACATAATTGAAAACATGATGGGAGTGTGTTGGAGTTATATTTGCAGACCTAATGTTTGCATTGCATCATTACTGAGTCATTATTCTGAAATGTGTACTTTACGGCTGTATTATATAAACGAATACAATTATCCAAACTTGACTCTCACCCTTGTAATAGCTCTAAGTAAAAGCCCCCAAAAGGGAAGATAGATATTTTTAAAGATTATATTTTTGTTAATTAACGTGAAACCAGTCATTCAAAATGGAAACATATGTTTTAAAACCTTCAACCTACAAATCAAACCCACCTCTGCCAAAGTCCATCATGCTGGTTTAGGGCAGTCTACTTAAAATAGTCTGCAACCACTTAAATATTGATGAAGTGCTTGGATTCCAGTGAGTCACAGATTGTCCTCAAAGATGACTTCTATATATACAGTATATATATATATATATAACACAATATCAATAATATTTTTAAATCATGTGGTGCATTTAAGGATTTGAGGTGAAGTGGGATATTTGAACATTGAAACCTTTATATTTTTTCATATAAATGTAGAAAAAGAAGTTTACTTTTGGCATCAGCTGTAGGTGAAGCTCAGGTGTTTCTTGAATACAATCATTTGTGAATTAGGCTCTGTTACTCTTCAGAATACGTAAATAGGTGTACGCTTCTCTTTTAAGTGGTGAATGGCACTGTGTGCTGCTGGGTTCCTAACAAAAATAATTGAAATTGCTAATTAAACCACTAACACCTCAGGTAAGAAGAAATGGACACAGGAAACACATTTGAGTAAAAACTCCAAGCTCATTACAAAAAATGACCAAATCAGCAGTGCTTTGTTATTTTTCTATTCTAGCAAATAGTGCAGTACATGTTGACATTGAGTGTCATTTTAATACTGGTTGGACAATCACTATTGGGATTTTTTTGTTTGATACTTAAAGCTTTAGCTTCAGCATGCTAGCAATGCAGATACAGTGGAGCCAAGACACCTGCTGTGTTACAGGCACTTCATCATCCCTTTATTTAACAGTTATAGGGGAAACAGTGGCTTTGCTTTGTATTGTGTTTGTGTGTGTTTGAGGCAACTGATGAGTGTGAGGAATCAATGGATTATGTTGAGCTCTAACGGCTGATTCACTTCAGGTCAGATATGGAGTGCTCAAATATTAGTGGGGTCTTCTTGATCCTCATCTTGTTCGGATCATGGCAGGATTTCCACACTCAGTCTTTTTTAAGCAGCTTTGTGACCTGAGGGTGTACATTTTCTTTCTTCTTCTGTGGTCCTAAAAACGGTTGGAAAAACTCAGCAGGGAACCAGAAAAAAGGTTCACGTTATAATCTCAGAGGATGGATTACGGTGTATGAACAAGTGGCTGTTAATGTGGTTGTGGTCATTGTTTATTGGATGAAACTAACCTAACCATGTTGTTGTCATGTTTGTCTCTTTGTAAGTATTGGAGTCATTTGGTTATGTAGAATAATTTTGCATTTTAGTTTTAGGCAGAGATTAAAGTAATATCTATACATACACTAGAGTACTTTAGCTCATCACAGCCATCATCTGCATCATCACCATCAACCTCATCCTTTTTAGCCTATTGCTCGACTCTAACCAAAACAATACATATACATTTATTTAAAATATTTTTGAAATATTAATTAATTTGAATTAGATTTTCAATCACAATGTTTGTGAAGCAGCCATTTTCTGCAGGTTTCAAATGAACGAGCCACATTGGGTTCCATTATCAAGTTTTATGCATTGTATTGGATTGGTGATAAAACAAACAACAAAACCATGGCTCTATTGCTGTTGTGGAATAAAAACAAACAGTATTAATCTGAGTGCTGCAGAGGCTGTTGTTTTTCATGTTATTTTTGAACCTTTCTTCACTGGTGATATGATAAACATGTATTTACATTTTATGTTGTATTGTCCTCAGTTTGCAAACCTGGAGGGAAAAAAAGAAAAGATTTGAAGACTCCAGTAACAACAGGCCAAAACTGACTTTGATCACTTGAATTTGAGATTGGTAAACTGACAGTGCCTCTGTGCTTCTGTATTCATCTGTATAGTTACACTAATGCCTGGGCTGATTATGACAAATGCTTTTTATCCTTGCAAAATTATATTAATATTTCTATATCTACCAAGCCCTGGGGGGGACTAGTGTTTCTTTTATCGTCCTTTAAATGTTTCACTAGTGTTTCTTTTATCGTCCTTTAAAAAATGTTAATGATATTTTCCTCTCGCCCACTCATCTCTTCCGACATAGACGCAGTGCCATTTTACTGCAAACCTCGTCTTAACAATACATAGAGAGCTGGTTTGTACTAGCTCTTAATGGCCCCTGTAGCTTCAGTCCTTACAACTCAAGGATGGAGTCTTTGTGCTTATCACTAACTACTTCTTTAATATGAACTTTTTTTTTTGGCCTTGGTCAGTGGAAGTTTTTATGGAGGGGATATTGAAATAATTGGTGCTAAAAACATTAGACAGTTCTAACTCCTCAGTCTGCCGTACTCTGCTACAATTAACCTCCAGTTGAGTCCTGGGGAACAGTTATGCTTCCTCTTAGGGATTTAAAAGAATGAAAATGTCTTGAATCTGACTGTTGAGTCCTCAACTTTAATATTTGGTCCACTTCCTGTGTGCTTCCTGGAATTAAATTTTACACACATGGTTGTATCCAATGTTAATGCACACACTATGAGTCAAATAGGTAATTATAAAATAATAAAATAATTTTGTTCACAGCTGAAAAAGTCTTTGCTCTGTGTTTGAGCCGTTCACTCTGAGATTGTTGACCATTTAAATGTTTTGTGACATTTAATTAAAGTTCCTGTAATTTGTCTATACATCATCTTAGTACAATTTTAGATCTAATTCCA